CTGATTACAGAACTGGCTTTCTGACAAGATGCGCATTAAATATCGCATGCGATTTATCGTGCAGCCCTAGTTTTATGTTTACGCGATGTGATGCAACGCAATCACAGTATAAGTCATTATAATCCATAGTTATGCCCCCACTGGATGCAACAAATGCCTCATTTATAATGGGTTTTTAATGTTTTTGTCTCGTTGCTCCGGGAGACGGCATCACAGTATGGTAGGGGCGTAACATTTCCGTCACACGCTTGAGGTATTCGGCCATTCACAACGCACTGGATAGCTGGCCAATCACAGCACACCTCGCTTTTCAGACCGATGAGCTTTGTAAAAATCAACGCGTTTCAGAAAGGCAGGGCATAGAGGAGAAACAATAATGTACAGTATGTGGAAAATAATGCGTTTTTTTTAACTTAAACCGCATAAACACATTTCATTACACCAAATACACAAAATAATATTATTTTTAGCAATATCATATAAAGATCTTTTAGTTCATGCTGTTATCTTTTGATGTGTGAACAAAGCTTCACTAAACATCGTTTTGTAATGCAACTCCATCCAATAACTGCAATGAGCCTTGTGCTTTGTTACTTTTAATAATAAAGTATCAGCTTTCAAATTTTGTAAGTTTTATCACAAAATCCAAACAATGAATACTGATTTGATGCTCTTTAATGTGGCTTGACAGATCACTGTAGCCGCCTTAGTTCAAGTGGCAACGTGGAGCGCACGTGAACCGATCTCTTCCTCTCTCCTACTAGTTATAGCATGAAATAAACATTAACATACATGAACATCAGATGTTGAAAGAAAGAATACAGCTTACAGAAATATATCATGTCTTATGTAATAATTCATTCAGTGTTTCAACTGCAGAAAGATGTCAATAAACAACTTGTAAACAATGTCACATAATGTTGCGTTTAAATCAGGAAAGCCATTCAATGTCCATAGCTCGACTGTCCACTAGAAAAAAATACTTAACCTGTTAGTGATGTCTCATTTATTGTATGTTTGAATAAATCTAAAGCCACAGTTACAATGATTATATTTCAACAACGAATTGGAGTAGAAACATAATATAGGCCCTTTCATTAAAAAGTTGATATAAAAACTGCCTTATGTGTAAAAACTTTTTATATGAGTATTTATTATTATATCTAAAAATAAATAGCCATTTAATTTGGAATCTGTTATTGATTTAGATCTTAATTTTTATAGTAATGTACCAACTGACAGGATTCTCTGTATAGTTTACAGCATTAGAGATTTTCCTTTATAAAAACTGACATGCATTGTACCTCATATATATCCCAGTCTAAACTTAATCAAATCAAGAGCTTGTGAATCAGATTTGAATTGATTCGTGAAATCTGTGTCAATACCCAGTTTTAATGCAAAGCAATCATTCATGTCTCTTCAGTAGATTTGGATTAAACCACTTAATATGATTTACATTTACTTTGTTTTTATGTACCTTTGGAAACTTGAAAATGTTGATGACAGACTAGTTTAATGTTTGTGTGTATCGGCTAGGGAGCATGTATGTGTCTGTGTTAATATTCATTAATATTCAGAGAAGCCGTGAGCTTGTGCTGTCAGACTGGGATCGGAGATTGAATCTTGTCATTATTAACTTTGAGGTTCAGTGCCACAGGCTGTACTCGCCGCCAGGGTTCTGTCAGAATACCAAATGTCCTCCTTTATCCCAGGTGCTGTTTTATGGCCTCGAGATCTAATTCTCTCACTGCTGTTTTGCTCTGGGTGTTGCTGGCATACCACTTGATCTTATCACATAGATGAATTGGTGCTCAGAAGGAGTTTTGCATTATTTACACAAGACCCTGTCCTTCAGATGAGGTTTTGTGGAAAGAACCAGTCACCTCATTTTCTCTTTCTTCCTCTTTCTTCCTCCAAGATGATATACTCTCATATCATAAACAGTATATGAATCCCTTAGGTTCTCTATTGGGTTCTCACTTTCCCTGTATTTTGCTCTCTTTAACTTTGTAGGATTCTGATAATCCTGACTTGCGTGACCGTGGCTACATCTACTGGCGTCTGCTCTCCACAGACCCTGTGGCGGCAAAAGAGGTTGTGCTGGCCGAGAAGCCTCTGATATCAGAGGAGACGGACCTGATTGAGCCCACCCTGCTGGAGGAGCTTATCTGCCACATTGGTACTCTGGCCTCAGTCTACCACAAACCTCCCAGTGCTTTTGTGGAGGGCAGCCGTGGCGTTCAGCACAAGAGACTTCCTGCTCGTGCTGGCTCGTGAGTCTCTGTTTATATTCTTTTCTTATATTACTTTATGTATAGAGTAGCAGAAATAAAGATTTGTTTAAATAAAATAAAAAAATATATATATTATTATAGTTAATAATATATTTATAGTTAAATTATTATTTTACATTTACCTTATATATATATTAGGGCTGGGCAAGTTAACGCGTTATCGCGTAATTAACGCATTAATTGATTAACGCCGACAATTATTTTATCGCGCATTAACGCAGATTTTATTATTATGAAAGTCCGTTGTTCACTGGCACTGAAGTTTCCGATAGCACGTGAAGACAGAAGAGAAGCGCTCTCGCTCAGCATAGTGGAGTGCATCGTTTTGTTAAATTTGTGGTTTATTATTTTGAGTCGTTTGGGACACGGTAACACACGGCCTTCTCACAATATATTGCTTTACAGATCTATCACTTTTGCCACTGAGAAATGTTAACACAATCATGCTGCAGGAATCAGAAGTTCCGCGCTCCGAGCCATGGCTGGCTAAACGAACCACGCCCGAGCGCAGCACGGAGTGATCACACTAGTCAAACGAACCGGGCTTTCAGGGTCAAACGTGCTCGGTCACGGTTAAGATTGCCTAGTGTGAGTAGATCTATCACTCTTGCCGCTCAGTAATGTTCACGCATTGTACACCTCCACATCCCGCACACAAGTCTCTACCCGCCCACACCCGCACTCGCCCATCAAGTGTTGTCCCGCGCCCCACTCTGCGTTGGGTCCCGCGATCGTGCAGGTCTCTACTCGGAAGGTGCCTGTTATACTCTCCTGCCGCCTCTCACTTTGCTACAAACATAATCAGCCCTCAGTGGTGAAATTAGATTAATTTGTAGAAAAACGGTATAGAAAATTGAGTTAGCGTTGACCTGAAAAGGATCCAGACCTACTTCAATAAATCGAGATCATTCTGATCCCAGATCAGCCCCCTCCTCCTTAAAAACACATCCAAAGTCCCTTAACCAGTGTAATTGTGTCTTGAGAAATCACAGATGGTCTTGCATAATTACAGTTAATTTTACTTACCTGCATTTCCCCTCTGGTCTTCTCTTTCACTTTTTTCTTTCTTTCTTTCTTTCTTTCTTTTTTTTCCTCTCTCTTATCCTTACGCTACACTTGCAGATGGGCGATGAATCAGATACGGTAATTAAACTAAGTGAAAGAGGAAGCAGACACTTTCATATCATGCCATTTCATTAGGCTAAATTGGGGATCTGTTAGTATGTGTTTCTGATGTACTCATCACACCAGCAGAGGGCTGCTTCAGCTACTGCAGTCTACCTTGTACATTTACAGCCCCAACATTTTTATTTACAACCACTTGCAGCTAGTGTTGACATCAGTAAAATATGTTTATTTTGTCATTACACATCTTGTATAAACAGTCCTGGGCTTGCTGCAACCACATGTTATTTTTTAGGGAGTTATGGCAATATTTTCAGCAACTGTAAAGTTTTAGAAATCCCCAGCATCATTCCCCTCATTTCTTCTGCTTTCATCCATTGGAAACATTTCATCCATTTCTCATTCCTGTATCAGCCGGGTGGCAGGACAGAGGTGCAGTCTCCCCAACCATCTTCTGATTATAGTGAGAGAGAGGTCTGTGTGGGTGTTCTCACCTTTTGCGTTCATCCTTAAAAAGTTCCTCTGTACTGATTTTAGAGTAGTCCCTGTTGCCCAACATAAACTGGTTTTAGATCAGTATGAAGGAACCATAAGAGCACCTTTCCTCCTTTTTGTTTCAGTGTTTGAGTTTGTAGCATTAGTTGTAGTCACACACAAGTAGGCACGTCTCATACAGAATGTTTAGTATGTTGAAAGTAGGGGTGGGCCATATGACTAAATTTTTCATGATATGAGTAATTTTTTGTCACAATTCTATATGTATTTCACAGAAAAGTTATTTTATTTTATCTTTGTTATTAGAAATAAGTTTTTTTCAGGTGCAGTATGTCTGTTTAACAATAGCATTCAAGTAAGAAATACTAAAAAAAAAGAATAATCGAATGTAAAATAAAACACTAATATAATAATAAAATAGCAAAATCTTTATCGATTGACACTTCATATTGCCCAACCCTGGTTGAGCTTAAAAAGCCTAAAGAAACTGTTAATAGGACGTCTCACAACTTCCTTAGCAGCTGATTGACTTGTTTTCACCCACTGAGCTAGTCCCCCCTTCATCAACCTCTTCATAATTATCCGCATCTTTCCTGCCTACTGATCCTTACACTCATTTTTTGTCCTCTCTCTGTTCCCAGCTGGGAGGAGACATCGGCGGAAGCCCTTCGGTAAGATAGAGAAAGATTTTTAGCAAAGTTCACCCAGACTTTGATGAATGTGCTTCATTGGAGGAGTATTAGCATCAACAGAGGGTTTGCCTTCATTAATCAAAGAGCTGTTAAATTCCTCCTACACCTTTTTTTTTTTTAATCTTAGTTAATTTGTCTTTTTCATGATGGTCTTGTAACAGTCTGGGAAAGTTGTAATAGGTTGTAATACTCATCTCCCCCTGCTCAGATGGGTGCCGGTTTGGGGGTGGCCCCAGCAGCCATGCCTGCCTCTCTCGGCGGTGCTCCTGCTGTTGGAGGTGGATTGGGAGACCTTTTTGACCTTGGTGGAGGTGTTGGCATGCCAACAGGATCCTACGTTGCTCCTAAAACTGTAAGTATAGAATCAATCAATACTCTTAAGCTGGGGACACACTACACGACTAGCTGAAACATTCTAAGACTGACCTCAACACACTTAACGACTGTTTCAATCGACTGGAACAGATTTTAGTCTTTGACAATCGGAAAGGAGCACAAACCTAATGACTGAGTCACTCCACTACATAACACACTTAACGACTGGACAAATTCTGCCAAACCAAAAAACAACTCGCAAAAACCGCAGCATCTACCCGCGCTCCTGCCCCCGCAATACAGCGGACAACGCCGGTGAGCTTTTACCTATTGAAACGTTAAGGTCTGTTTTACTTTTCTTATGTGCTTAATTTAACAGAAAATATTAGGTTTTTTTTCTACTATGTTAGTGATCCTAATGAATGTCACAGCAATGTGTTTTGAATATGTTTTGCATTAAGTCCGATGCTACTCTTTCTTTTTGGAATTATTGAGTGCGTAGACACATTTCATTATGTATTTTCAAATGCCTATGCCTATGTTTAATTCCGTTAATTATAAAATTTCTATTGCTATTTTTAAACGTTTAGGCAAGCAATAATTTATTAATTATCTCATGTATGTCTAAAATCAGGGATTAAAAATGAACTGGTTCTAAGTAAAAAAAGGTAGGTAAAATTTTTTTCGTTACATTACTCGAGTTTGGCTACCGGTTAGAACGAAATAAAACATCACTTAATAAATTCAAGGCACTCTAATTTCCATATCCATTTGACACAAAACTATTATATATAATTAATATATTTATAAAGTAATTTTATCTCGTCATGTTCGTGATTTACGATTAAGGCTTCCTATATTCGTTATGAAGAAAATTCATTAGCCGCTATAAAATTCTTCATAACAAATTTTAAGAAGTTAGAAGTTGAGAAAAAATGGAATTAGCCTGTAGATAGGCCTATAGGCTAATTCTATTTTTTCTTAACTTTTATTAGAATGCAGATTGAAATAAAATAATTCTTGATCATCTTTAAAATTAGAGAAATCACTGACATAATTTAGGCTATAATTTTCTTCGACTGCAGAGAAAATTTACCTTTTATTCGAAGTGTTAACGAATTAAAAGAAAGTCAAGAAATAAATAACAACAAAAACTTCCGAGATTTTTCTTGTAATCAAGAAGAAAATATGACAAAATTACAAAACGAATGCTGAATGATGTTTGACAGTGCACGCATCTCCTCTGTATAGCTGCAATCGCTGGTGTCAGTCGCAAATATTAAACATGTTTAAAAAAATCTTTGTGATAACGACTGGTTCTTGAATTCTAAGATTATAATCTTTAGATACCACACACTATGCAACTTTTTCTGCCGACTGCAAACAGCGACTGAGCCCAACTGGAACAGACCCGGTCCGACTGGGCACGATCCATCATCAAGACCAAATTCCATTCATAATCGGCCTGACAGTCGTGTAGTGTGTAATCAATAACTTTGGTTATGTCTTCAGCAGTCTTTTATAAGCAGGTTCACCGCTTTTTTAAGTCAATTTGTAATACGGCAGTGTTTCCTGGACTCTTAAGTGGGTGTGCACATAGAACGTGCTGTGGTGTTCAATAATGGACTCTCCAGTCCAACAGAATGCAGAGCACATTTTTAATTGAAAAAAAAAA